AACATTGGTCCGAAAATAAAATTTGTCATTAAAAAGAGATGTTTATTTTAAATTAAAGTCAGCAGATGTCAAATCTATCCAAACTGATGGTATAATTGTATAAGTGATCCCTCGGAAGCACAAATCACAACAAAATTACAAGAGAATTCCAGACTCGGTCTGATTGAGTCTTTACATGAGGGATAATGAATACGTGCAACATCCCTCACGCCCCCTAGCAGCGACTGAGCGTTACTAAATTCTCCACACTTAATAGTGCTGGCATCAATGATCCCGAAGGATTAAAAACGTCAAAAGATAAATTTAAAAGCAGGCAACATATCCTAAAAGTGATTATATACAATATTGAAGTAGGAATACTGGGGCCACCCAAGTTATTTTCTCTATTGAAACCCCCGCATTGTGTACAAATGGCGGTTATCATGGAACCTTCAATGTGACACATTAGTGCCATTCCAAGAAAAGCGGCATAAGGTCCCCAAGTAACTAGAGATGGCAGGTGGACTTGCCTATCGGAAAGTTCATTTAAAAAATAATCTCTAACACTGAAAAACAGTTGTCACTGGTGAACGACCCAGGGCCATCATGGCCATTTTGTTCAATATGTCTTTTGATGTCATATCTGTGATATGCAGGCTTCATAATCAAACCGAGCCTACAATATTTTCTATTTTGTCGTGTTGGGCTTTCTTTAGGGATTCTGTATTTACCTATTTCATAACCTCAGATCCCCTTTCAAAATTCTATTTTGTTTAGTTCTGCACATTTCTTTCTCGTTTAGGGCAAAGGCTTTTTATAACTTTGGGACCATACGCCGCTTTTTATCCCTCGCCAAAAGGCTCCAACTTTAATAATTTTTGAGTTATTGCCCTTTGTTATTTTTCATACTTAATTTTTCACCTGAGGGAAGCATAACTCAAAAAGTCTTTGAGATGTCAACATGAAACTTCTTAGGTAGATAGATCTTATTGAGGAGGAATGCTGTGAACAAGAAAGATAACTCTTCCCATTATAATTTTTGAGTTATTGCTCTTTGTTATTTTTCATACATTTTGTCCGGAGCATATCTCAAAGAGTGTTTGAGTTATTAACTTAAAACTTCATAGGTAGATAGATCATATTGTGGAGGAGTGCAGTGTACAAGAATGATAACTCTTTCCTGCATATTGCCCTTTGTTATTTTTATGCCCCCCCCCCCCTTCGAAGAAGAGGGGTAATATTGTTTTGCTAATGTCGGTCTGTCTGTCGGTCTGTCGGTCTGTCCGTCGGTAGACCACATGGTTCCCGCTGATTATCTTGAAAAGTATTAATCACAAAGTCTTCATATTTCACATAGTGATTGGTCATAACTAGTACATGACCCCTATTGATTTTGGGGTCACTAGGTCAAAGGTCAAGGTCACAGGGACCTTAAATGTCAAAATGGTTTCCGCTGATTATCTTAAAAGGTATGATTCACAAAGTCTACATATTTCACATAGTGATTGGTCATAACTAGTAGTGACCCCTATTGATTTTGGGGTCACTAGGTCAAAAGGTCAAGGTCACAGGGGCCTTAAATGTCAAAATGGTTTCCGCTGATTATCTTGAAAAGTATGTATCACAAAGTCTTCATATTTCACATAGTGATTGGACATCACTAGTAGATGACCCCTATTGATTTTGGGGTCACTAGATCAAAGGTCAAGGTCACAGCGACCTTAAAATGTCAAAATGGTTTCCGCTGATTATCTTGAAAAGTATTTATCACAAAGTCTTCATATTTCACATAGTGATTGGTCATAACTAGTAGATGACCCCTATTGATTTTGGGGTCACTAGGTCAAAGGTCAAGGTCACAGGGACCTTAAATGTCAAAATGGTTTCCGCTGATTATCTTGAAAAGTATGTATTATAAAGTCTTCATATTTCACAAAGTGATTGGTCATAACTAGTAGATGACCCCTATTGATTTTGGGTCACTAGGTCAAAGGTTAAGGTCACAGGGGCTTTAAATGTCAAAATGGTTTCCGCTGATTATCTTGAAAAGTATGTATCACAAAGTCTTCATATTTCGCATAGTGATTGGTCATCACTAGTAGATGACCCCTATTGATTTTGGGGTCACTAGGTCAAAGGTCAAGGTCACAGGGGCCTTAAATGTCAAAATGGTTTCCGCTTATTATCTTGAAAAGTATGTATCACAAAGTCTTCATATTTCACACAGTGATTGGTCATAACTAGTAGATGACCCCTATTGATTTTGGGGTCACTAGGTCAAAGGTCAAGGTCACAGGGGCTTTAAATGTCAAAATGGTTTCCACTGATTATCTTGAAAAAAATGTATCACAAAGTCTTCATATTTCACATAGTGATTGGTCATCACTAGTAGATGACCCCTATTGATTTTTGGGTCAAAGGTCAAGGTCACAGGGGCCTTAAATGTCAAAAGGGTTTCCGCTGATTATCTTGAAAAGTATTCATCACAAAGTCTTCATATTTCACCTAGTTATTGGTCATAAATAGTAGATGACCTCTATTGATTTAGGGGTCATTAGGTCAAAGGTCAATGTCACATGGGCCTTAAATGTCAAAATGGTTTTCGTTGATTTTTCCATAATTGAACACTTCCATGTACCCATTTTTGGCAAGTTTTTGTAATAAAATTACCAATTATGTGAGTCAATGGCTAGAAAGGGGGGTATATGTGTCGTTTGACATTCTTGTTCAAACTTAATTTTTGTCAAAAAGCTTACGAGATATCAACATGAAACTTCATAGCTAGATAGACCTTTCTCAGGAGGTGTGCAGTGCGCAAGAATGATAACTCTACCCTTCATAATTTTTTAGTTATTGTCCTTTGTTTTTTTTTCATACTTAATATTTTTCACCTGAGTGGAGCATAACTCAGAGTCTCTGAGATGTCAACATGAAACTTCATAGGTGGATACATCTTAATAAGGAATGCTGTGCACAAGAACGATTACTCTTCCCATTATAATTTTTGAGTTATTGCCCTTTGTTATTTTTCATACTTTTTGTCCGGATTTTATCTCAAAAAGTGTTAGAGGTATCAACTTGAAACTTCATAGCTGGATAGATCTCACTCAGGAGGTGTGCAGTGCACAAGGATGATAACTCTACCTGCATATTTTTTCATTTATTGCCCTTTGTTATTTTTATGGTTATTTTTTGTCCAGAGCATAACTATAAAAGCCTTTTAGATATCAACTTGAAACTTCATAGGTGGATAGATCTCTTTGAGGAGGAGTGCAACACACAGGAATGATAACTTACCCTGCATTATTTTTCAGTTATTGCCTTTTGCTTTTTTCAGCCATCAGTATTCACATAGGTTTCAAATCTGTAATCACTTCAGCCATCAGTTTTCATTACAAAAAGACCTCTTAAAATTGAATTATTCTGCTCTTTTACATATATATTCTTCCAATGAGCAAACACATTTGGCGATTAACTAGAGTAAAACAGAATCCCTACATAACAAAATTGAAAATGTTGCAGGCTCGGTTTGATTGAGCCTGTTCATGGACGGTAATGGAAAGTGCAAGTTACCGTCCACGCCTCCTGGCACGGGCTTAAGCAGAATTCAACATTTAACACAAAAATGGTGAAATATTGAACTAGAGGTATCCACAGATGTGTTCATACGGCGGTTATCAAGGAACCTTCAATGTGACACAGTAGTGCCATTCCATAAAATGCGGCGTATGGTCCCCAAGTCAAAGAATGCTTTTATCCTAAACGAGAAAACAATGGGCGGAACTAAATAAAATGGAATTTTGAGAGGGGATCTGAGGTTATGAAGCCTGCATTACAGATAAGTCGTCAAAAGACAAATTTCAAAAGCAGGCAACATATCTTTAGGGTGATTATACAGTATTCAAGAAGGAATACTGGAACCACCCAAGTTGAAAATGGCCAAAAAGAAGGAACTCAAAGTACCACATAACATGTTTACACAACAATAATGTTGTGCTGAACGATTTTCAATGATCGAAAATATAACATCATTGGTTAAATGTACGGGGAGACTTTTTACAGCCGCCACACGGCAAAAATAACACTTGCACTTTCCAGTACCGTCCATGAACAGGCTTAATCAAACCGAGCCTGCAACATTTTCATTTTTGTCGTGTTGGACTTTCTTTAGGAATTCTGTTTTTCTCTATTTTAATCAAACTGTGCCTGCAACATTTTCAATTTTGGCGTTTTGGACTTTCTTTAGGGGTTCTTATTTCCTCTATTTCATATTCTCAGATCACTTTTCAAAATTGCATTTATTTGCTTGCGCCCATTGCTTTTTCGTTAAGGGCACACGCATTCTTTAACTTGGGAACCATACGCCGCCTTTCATGGAATCACACTAATGTGTCACATTGAAGCTTCCTTGATAATTGCCGTATGAACACACCTGCGGATGATGTATCGTAATTTACAATTTCACCATTTTCGTGTTTAAATGTTAAATTCTGCTGAAGCTGGTGATTGAGGGCGTGAACGGTAGTTTGCACAAGACAATAACGTTTATGAACAGGCTCAATCAAACCGAGCCTGCAACATTTTCAATTTTGCTGTGTTGGGCTTTCTTAAGGGAATCTGTTATTCTCTATTTTATACTTTCATGCATGAAGTTTGTTGTTGATTTGATCATATTAGAGTCTGGTAGGACGGGATGATGCGTGGGCTGCACCACGAAGCATTGCTTTCCTTGTTGAGCTTTCCTCTCATACCATATTTTTCTCTCATACCATATCATTTTTACCGCCTCCGTGGTCGAGGGGTTAGAGTCGATGACTTCTAATCCAGTTATCTCTCTGGCGTGGGTTTGATCCCCGGGAGATGCTTTGGTAGTTAGGCGCGGAGAAAGGTAGTCTAGTACTGGTGTAACTCAAGGAACGATAGTTAGGAAACTACCCGCCTATATTGGGAAAAGGCGTAAAATAAAACAAACAAACAAACAAACAAACAAAAAACAATAACTAATTGAGAAAAAGCTCTTTATTAACTTAAAATCTCAGAATAAGTGCGATCTAGTCAAATCAAACGTGTTAAGTATCAACAAACACTTTCTTATAAATGTATGAAATTTATAGGATCTTAAAGTTAACACTTGTGCCCAGGAGCTATACAATAGATCTATATCTTTTGAAGTTATATACAATGTAGGTTATTCTTCAATAAATTTGAACAACGATCTGTCATCTTGGATGTTTGAAAGGGTTGTAACGTACTGTTCTATGCCCTCGTCTACCCTAACGAATCTACCAGTTGACTTTGTTTGTATACGATAATAATCTAGTGTCTCGCGGGTAATGACAAATCTTCCATGATCATCGTCAATGTTGCTAACCCCTGATAGGGGCTGCAGAGACACGTCCGCTGAATTAGAACCATCGTACATGTAGACTGGATCACGAAAAGACTATAAAAAAGAATTAGATATAGCTTATAAGTGTACGCTTTTTTTTGAGTGACAGTTAACACCTTTTTTGAATGCTATTTCAAACGGTGTTTCAAACAAACCTGTTAAAAGCGAACACCTCCAGATTCATAATAATGTTCATGAATATGTTGAAAATTGTTTAAGTAAGTAATTTAAAAGTATCATAAACGGAAAGTAAATTAACAAAGAAAGGTCACATTTTGCAAAAGTAGCCATTGCTGCGATTACCACGCAGTAGATATATGGTAATAAAGACTGCAAAATCAGTCATTATAACATGTAAATCATTACTTAAATGGGAATATGTTTACATGATTTTAATTTCTCAAACTCTTAGTTAAATTTTCCCAAAATTGATTAAAAATTATTTTTTTTTTTAAGTAAACGATATGTTTTTCTTAGTAAATAATGTAAAGACATTTTCAATTGTTTAATTTGTTTATTTCTAAAAGAAAAAACAACATCATCTGTTTAAATGCTAACTGAGCTTTTTCTTAAAATCATACAAATATCCTTATTAAAGCCGTTAATATCAAAAGAAAGAGGTATGGTTTGGTTGTTCGTTTTCTTTTCTTTCGATTTTTCCTTCGTTTGTTTGGTTGGACTTGGCTGGTTGGCTTTTTAGCCAGTTGAACACATTGTTTGGTCTTATCTCGGTAGTCAGTCCATGTACCTGACTATTTCTAGCCTGTAGGTCCGAGATATACACCATATCTGCAATATCTTTTTTGTACAGTAGGTAATCAGACTAGGCTCTCCGCACAGTCATTTTAACAAAATAGCAATTAATTATCTACATCAAGTCTTGCACGCCTTATATAAAACAGTCATCTGCATAAGTTTAAAGATACTTGTTAATTAAGCTTAACGCCAACTTCTTTTCTTTCAGGTATTACAATTGGCAACACATAAAAATATAACAAAAAGCTGCTTAAGTTTTTATTGACTTATTATTATTACTATTATTGATCTGAATTTCTTAATAAAGCTTTCTTTATAATGTCGTTAAATGTTATAATAAATCATTCAACATGTTCATTTATATCTGAAAAGTAGCTTCTGAAATGTAAACATTCACACCAAATGTTTTATTTGAAATGAAACAACCTGAATCTTCTAAATAAACAGAGCATTGCTTTAAACTGTGAATGCTCTTGTTTTTTAGCGAGCGCCAAGTGAGCATTTGGTAAAATTCGTAAAATAGACTTATATTGCTAACAATCATTGTTGAAAAAATTGCCAAATTTGAAAATACAACTGTGCTTATCATATTAATCTGAAGGAAAACAACAATGGATAAAGCAATATAAACTGCGTCGTATCCACAAAGGTTTATATAAATTCTTGCCCGCTTTGAGTTGCGAGTTAACTTTAACTTTTGTTTCACAAAATAGTTGTGCATACAATTCATACCAAAATGGAGCGCAAAATTAAAGAGCGTGTTAATACATGTATCTGGTTTTCAGTCATTTCCAACAAAAAAGCAGTATACAAAAATATACCGGTTTCATTCCGAGATGTCGGCGTTTGTTTACAAGTGGTAGGATACGACGCAGTTCTGATACCCAGTCCTGAATCAATAGGTACTAATAAACAATATATTAGTCATTAAGAACACACATAACAGAAATAGAAGCAAACGCAGTAAGTTAATAATAATAAAAAATATCAAAAATTTATCATGTTTTCTGGACGTTTTCTTTTAGCAAACTCACCTTAATTCTGTAAGATCCATCACCTTGTTTTTCAAAGGTAAAGCGTGTAAAGTCATCATCCGGTTGCCATCGACATGACACGACTTCAAAGCCAACATTGTTTCCGTCGTAATGCCAAAATCTGTTATTTTCTTTAACGTAAATCCTGAAGACTTTACCTTCCAGTTCTAGATCACCTGTGAGAAATTGACATTCCTTTTATCCGATGAGGGGTAAAGTTTCTTTGTTAATATAAAATTATTCTGCCATTTAATTTAGTTTCATTACAGATAAAAATGATTGTGTATAAAGCTATAAGCTTATAGACACACTTTCAATTAAGTTCACTACTGAACAATGAGTGTATAGATTCTTTATCGTAGATATAAATTAAACTCGTTTAAGAAAAGATGTATTTTGCAAATAGCTTGCATATAGCCTAATATTTCTTGAGGACAAAATGTTCAAAATCAGTTTTGAATTTAAAGAACATTTAACATTTTGGTTCTTAACAAATTTGAACACTAAATCTGAAGGAAATGCAAACATGCACTTTAATATGCTTTAATTACAGAATTTTGTTTAAGTTGTAGATGTTTCGTAAATTACGAACACATCTTTGAACGTGCAATAATTTTTTTATAAAAGAAGCAAAATGTTAACAAAGTAGCATTTTGTTTCTTCCATACAAATCATATAACATAACTTTACAAATGGCCAAAGAGTAAAAGTTGGTTCAGCTATATGACAAATGAATACCTTTTCTGACACTGTAACGAACCATAATAAATTAAAGCCTCGTGTGTGTTTGAGTGTATCTTTATGTCAATTGTTTTACCGGGTTTTTTTTATTTGTTTGGGTCGTCAGACCAAACAAATAATGGTAGCGAAATTTCAGACTCTAATGCTGTTAATTGCAAATGCCGAAAGTAGTCAGCTTTTTTTGAAGCGGTTACTTCCCTTTATATGTAACACAAAGGCCGAAAAAATCAGGGGAGATCACTGCGTAAATATGGTCACATGACAGGCGCATTAATTTGCAAGCAAAATAATTCCGGAATGGTCGAAGATTTCTAATATTGTTTAATTCTTTATAGATATACATGCTTATAGTAAGCGCCATGATTATTAAACAAGTTACAAACCCTAATTTAGAATATTATGGTTTTACATATAAATTCACCGTGGCCGAGGGGTTTGCCCGCTCAGGAAGCGAGAGGTCTGGAGTTCAAATCCCGGTTAAGGCATCTCATTTTTTTTCAAATTGTTTAAGTCAAATAAACATTGGATTGAATATCAGTGTTTAAATTAGTCTTATAGCCAATCTACTACAATTAAAACGCTAGAAAGCATTGGTGGCACTATACAAAAACAAATTGTTTTATAATCTCACAACCTTCACCTTTCTGACATTCTGAGACCCAAACAAATTCAGCGCCTTCTGTGCTTTGATTTATTAATTAAATTCACTTGTTCAGAGGAAGTTTCCGCGAGAGCCTTTCAGCATTTTGTAGTAAAGAAATAGAATTTTACATATTAACTTTGCATCTGCAAAAACAATATAAGTACTTTCTTAATTTTAGATAATATTGAAGTAAAAGTCTTACTTTGTTTAATGTAAAACAAGGTTCCTGTCTGATCTTGTAAATTATCGTATCCGCTACAAAGCGTACACATCCCGGTGATAGTACTGTAAAATATGCTTGTACATGTTGATTGTTCGTGACACAGACGGGAACAATATACCTTACTTCTTGCGGATGCTTCAGAATATTTCTCAGTGCCGACACATATTTTGTCACTTAGACCTAAATCTCTAGAGAATGTCACTGTTTGTACAGCACAGTTGAATACCCTATACTCATTTGAGAATAGAAATAGAATAACTGTTAATAACGTATAAAAATATGTAGTTATCAACATACTTCTAAGATTTCTTGCTGTAATACAAAAAAAAAACGCGTTTTATTAATTTCGCAAACTTCTTTCCATTTTTTTCTAAATATGCTGTTTTTTGTTGTTTTTTTTTGTTTTTTTTTTTTGTTTTTTTTTAATATCTAAAGAATTACTTAGTTTTTTTTTTGTAGTTCGTCTTTCCTTTAACATATGTTACTAGATAAATCCATCGTTAAAAGTAACAATAATTATTAATAATATAAATTTGTCAATGTTAGTACAATACAACGGTGTTATACTAAGCAAGAGAAGAAAATTCTCAAAACTTTCATTTTCAACAATATAATGAAAGCCAGATAGAATGATGTCATATATTGATGAATGTAGTTCTTAACTTGTTTTCATAAATCAAAGTTTCAGTTATTCACCAGACGACATAATATTATGACTTCTGGCCATTATGTTTTGTTTATTTTACAGGCCGGCTGTTTCCGGTCGATGTTTCAATGAAACAGTTCTCATCAGCTTCGAATATAATAGTCATTTGAATGTAAAAGTAAAAATATGCTTAACTGTCAATCACGCTATTTACTTAACTTTTCAATGCAAACATGTTTATAGGAAGATTGATTTTTTTTCGTCATACGTCTATTTAGACGTCAATGGTCTTTGGGAAGTGTCAAACGTAAATATACGGTATTGGTTAAAAAGTAATAGGACTGCAGTTCTATCGTTCACATTTTTAGTTTATGTACACGATATTACAATAGACAAATATCGGAACATGTTGTTTATATACAGTGAAAAATCAGTACAATATGTTTACAAATAATAATTCTGGGAACATTTTAAATGACAAAGGGTACGCGACTTTTCGCACATAAAATGACGTTTCAGACGTCGCAAAAATAAATACAAACTATAGCACGGCTTTAAATAGAAAGAACATCGTAACACGGGGCTATCTGATTTGTACGGGAGGGCGTAGCGCACTGTGCATATACATGTATATGTATGCGATTTAAATCTGACACATTTACCACAAAAAAGGTGTTCAAACTAGTATAATACAACATTGATTTATTTTACGATCGCCATACATATGACAATATTCCAAATTTAATGGAATATAAAGACGCAAGACTCTTACTTTTATTACTTTTTTGACACCCCTCATATGTCCTGGCTGATTATAGATTCATTCCTGTTGATGAGAAACCGATAAAAAGTCATTCTTATAATAACAAAAGTATCAGATCATTTAAAGGTCTCCGGTCAAAAATACCCATGTTTTCCGATACTTACAGAATTGAATATGTAGAGTACAATAAACATGTTTAAAATAGTCATTCACGTTTCCTTATATAAAAAAACGTAATTTACTAATTCGTATTTTTTCAGTAGAGCGATCGGTAATTTCCGCCAGTCTCACACTTTGCAGCTTATAGATAAGAGCATCGAAGAATCTGCTCTACTATTGTGTTATGAATAGCGTAATTTTGGAAGTTTTTGTTTAAAACGAAGATTATATAATGACATTTTACAATTGCTATGGTAATAATGTGCTGTAAATTAATAGGATTTTTATACAACGCCGTCGGTATTAAAACACAAAATTTAATAATCCTTTAATGTTCTTAAATAAAATTTACTGGAAGAGTGATATTTGTAAACATAAGTCACTCCGGAAGCAAAAACCATTTACAAACAAAGGGATTTCATTAACAAGATTTTCCGAAAATCTTTTGACAAATTGAAATCAAGCCCTAAAACAATTTACGCGCCAAATTTCTATAATTATGTGACTGTTTTTTTCCGTACATGTAATGATGTTAATTATTATCTGCAGGATAATTCCTTTATCTATTGGTAACTAGAAATTGAATCACAACACTCCACCCGCTCAACCCACTTTTATTGCAATGAGATTTTGAATCAGTCCGTGGAATGTTTAGAAAGTCGTAACATTTGACACTTTTTCGACGAATGTTTATGCAATACCCTAAAAATTAAAAAATAACCCTGTCTCAAAAATAAGCCACCATTTTCTTACAGTCACAATTAATAAGAAAGATTGCCGGTCTGATCATTCAACATATAACATACAGCTGATGGAAATAAAAATCTAAAATCTCCAAATTCTTCATAGAAATGTACCCGTTAGCTACCATACATAACTATTGTAATCCGATAAACGGGTTGTTGTATGTTAAAAATTGATATGTAAACAACATATTTTTTTAAAGATTTTCTCCCTCATCCCACGGTATATGTACCTCGCAGAAAGGCACAGGACATCAGCAAATAATTCAAAATCCACATCCAAACGTGTAATACGGTGAGTTCGCATGCGTTCTTCAGCTCTTCTTCATTATTGTCACAGGTTACTGTACGTTTAGGTGCTCATTGACTACTATATAGTGACTTAATTTCGGCTTAAAATCCATTTCCTTGGCTAATTAATACGATTGCACGCAGGTAAATTAATTAAATAATTACCACTTTGTGCTTCACAATTAACCCTTTAAATGCATGACTGGTAACATGTCCGTGGTCCGTTCTCGACAGAGAAAGCTGCTATGCTTTTTGTGCCTTAACGGGCGGAAGGAACCTGATTAAAAAAGACTACATACGTACGTAAAAAACTCTTGTTACGTCTCTCTCTACATCACATCAAACTATTCGCTACTTCTTGTTGTGTACCAAAACAAAACATGGTGGGAAAAATGTACACAGAATTGACAAGCGCTTTATTTTGTATTTTTTTTTTTGTAATTCAAAACAGATTTTTCTACAACGACTGACAATTCTGCTATACGGGTTTCGATGCGCGCCCCTTTTTGGAGCTAGAGGACTGATAAATAAAAATCCAAGATTTAAATTTTGAAAAACATAAGTTCTTTATTCTGTGACAGTCAAGATGGAATATATGTTTATATTACAAAACATTATAAATAATTATAATAATATTTCAGAAATTTCAATATTTAAATAAACAAATACAGGTGGAATTTAATAATAACTCACTTTGCATGTGAGAAGATACTGAGATCTTGGTCGATGATAAATATCCTAATCCACCGATACTTATAAAATGATTTTTTACATAGCTTTGAATTGAATCTGATGATTGAATAAAATCAACTATATCAATGTAAATTATGTGAAAAATATAACTTATGGAACAATTTATTAATAACTAAAATAATAGTATTTTATTTAAAAATTAAAATTTATTAAGTAAAGAACTTAGATTTAACATTTCGTATAAAGCAAAAACTAATATCTTATGACAATTTAATTTACTTCTACAATAAAAATATTCCAATATCTCAGTTATTTAAATTACAATAATATAAAATACAATGATTATTTAATATGCAAAGTATTGAAAAATGTGTAAAATGTAAAATTAAAACATACTTGAGAGAAACAGCTTAAGATAAAATAAAACATATTTCTTACAGTGAAACATTGAATGGGAAACAGTAGATATAGAAAAATAAGTAACTCAACATACAGGATGAATAAAAATAAAAATTCAAGATTTTAAATTTTGAAAAACATAAGTTCTTTATTCTGTGACAGTCAATATGGAATATGACTTCACAGAATTTCTGACCAGCATATATACATACAAGAAAGTGAAGCAGATTAAATCATAAAGGAAGATATTGACACATTTAAAAAGGGAAAGGAAATAAAACAATCACATCTTCAATAGATCTGTGAGGTCAAATCTCATAACTATTCCCTAAGGGCCTAAAATCTCTGATCATATAAAAAGTATTATCACCTAGAACCATAACCATCCCTTCATATTTACCTTTAAGCAGGATATTAATTTTGCGTTTAAATCAGTTCTGTAGATTTAATCTTAGTTATAATTTAAGCTTGACACATTTAATGTGAAATATAACAATAGTTGAAATAAAAATAATCAAGTACACAATTAAATGAATAAGAAAAAACTAACGTAAGAAAGAGAAGTTAATATTTATAAATAAATTATACATTAAAGTATATGTGCATTAACTGTTTAAGGCTTACTAAACAAAAATATACAAGATAAATTTAGATTATAACACATCCCCAGAAGATTACATTAGTTTTGTAATTAAAAATGTCATCAAACTATCCTGGAATTTTCAAAGAGCATATTTTCAAAATTCAAAGAACAACATGAAATTTTTATTAAAGTTACACGGACGGCTCAAATGATTGTTGCCGTCTTTGAAAATCATTTTACATCTGGACTTTGAGTACCTGATATTGCTTCTACCACTTTTATTATTTACTGCAGAAGCGAAAGCGTTTGATCTTGCATTATCATACATTTTACAGCAAAATGGAATCCCCCGAGTATACATCGGATTGCAGAGTGTTCTGATGTGCTTTCTCTTTTGTATCATAAGCAAAAACAACAACACGTTCCCTGTCGTCAACAATACGGACCCCCTTCCCCCCCCCCCCCAAAAAAAGTAACCAATATACGAACATCTGAATTTGACTTTTCAATCGTTATTCCTTTCCCAGTCATCACATTAAGGAAACCGGGGGAAAAGTGCCAATCAAGCACCATGCTCTAATTTCATCCCTGAGAGTCTGTGAAGTAATAAGAGTGCAGGTAACTTATACATACACCCAGTTAAAGCATTGTGCATGCTGACCCGTTTTAAATGAACTGATGAACACCGCAGACTGGCACTACATATATTTATGATTAGCCCCAAAAACGTCTGCTACTTTTGTAAAGGGAGTAGATAGTGTAAAAATTGGAATCCATCTATATGGAAAGTCTTGCATGATATACTTCAAGACATTTTTAACAAAAAAAAATGAAAGCAAAATGTTACATAATTCAAGTTACACATAATATGAATGACGTAGAAAATTTCTATACGAGTTCTAACGTATACGTCGGAAAACGAACTACATACAAGTTTTGATGACTACAGAACTGTGACTTGCACGGAAACGTATTCATAAAGTTTCAATAATTGATATATTTTTCCCCACCATCTTAAACTTTAAAAACGAAATTTATAAAATGTGTCTTTTTCCAATCGGCTAAAATTGAAAAACATTTTTTTTTGTCCTGAGGTTTAAACCTCAACGAGCTTAAACAACGACCTGTCGTCTGCTACGTTGTTTATTGACGACACGTATTTGTCCGTATCGAGACGAACGTATCGATTTGTCGCCTTTGTTTTAATTCTATAGTATTCTGGAGTTTCCATGGTTACAAAGTATCGCATATGATCGTCATCAATTTGGTCGTCACCATTTAGATATATCCCCTTAGCACCGGGCACATTAAACCCATCGTACATGTAGAGTGGCATAGCAACCGACTGAAAATAAATATAAAATGAATATTTTTACTGAAATAAACAGGATGCATCTGCCACATATGATGTTTCGATCACACATGCAATATTATGACGTAATTATGCATTATTGAGAACAATACTGAATTCTATTGGACGAATACACTGATTTCAGGCCTATATCGGAGGTTTTGCGCTATGTAAAAGTCAGTATCACATAAACCGCGGCGCAGAAGTGTAATAAATAGAGGATACTTGTTTGTTTTGCATGTAAGATTGAAATATAATTTCACTGAGTGAACATCAGATGCAATATTTTCACGAGTGGCGAAGCCACGAGTGAAAATATAATAGCTTGTACAACGTTCACGAATGAAATATATTTCAATCTTATATGTAAAACAAATAAATTTTCTTTTTATTTCATGCTTTTTAAGTGATTTTAAGTATTTTTACTGATTTTGCCACGTAACACTGCGCAATCTCCTTTGTGACGTCATCACATAATGACGTCACATCATAAATTTTGAAATATAGTTCTGTTAAATTTTGTCTAATTTTGTTACATTTTTAACATGATGTATGATGACATCGACTTTCTTTTCCTAAAGAAGCAAAATTTACGCATGACAGCATTTATTTCTGCCTGTTATTCCATTTATTTATGATTTTCGATTCATCCGCATTCAGATATAGTCCGGCTACAGTGAAAATTATATTTTATAAATTTCACTGCTGCAGTAGTGGTTTATCAGAATATAATCATCTGATATATTACAATAAAACACTGGAAAGCATGAAATAAAGCCATTTAATAAAAACGATATTACACTAGACAATATTACACTATATATAGTGTAATAACACTTTGACGTCACGTCATTTGCACTATAAACATAGCGTTAAGCGCGCTAATATTAGCGTTACACTATAGGCTCGTCAAAGAAAAATGACTTTTGTAAACAGTTTACCGTTCTTATTTTATATATGTGATAAATAGAATATTATATTCGTGTAGATTCAATACTAAATTTATTGAACTCGTGGAATAAACAATATTATGCTCGCCAGAGGCTCGCATAATATGATTTTATTCAACTCGTTCAATAAATTTAGTATTAATGTACACTCATTCAATATCCTCTATGTATTGTACTCGTATTCAACATTCCTGATTAAGTAAAATCAATATTGTATTAAACTTACCTGTAGTATATCTTTGCACCTGACTGTATATATTAAAGGAGAAGAAACAATATACTCGAGCAAAGTAAAACTACTTTAATTTGAATAGGTTATTTCGGAGTTTTAGCATTGCGTTTAATGTTAAAATCTAGAAAACACTGCAATGTATATTTCTAAATAAAACTGTCGTGTTTCAGTAAGTGTATCTTACACTTACGTATTCATGTACACAATAAAAACGGGGCTAAACGAAGTACTATATGGATTTGATATCAATGTTATGGACTCGGGGAAAAAATGAAGCTTTAATGATAAGATTTGATACAATATTTATCTTTTAATCATCACAATGTGCCAACCTTGGAAAATGTTTTTGGCCACAATTTATCAGATTTGAAATAAAAAAGATAATTTATTCCTGTCGATATTACACTTAACTTATAAGGTATTTTAACCAGTTTTACAAAGTTTTCTCGAATCAAAATTTAAACCCAATTTACGTAAAATGTTAACACCTTACCTTTATTTTGTATGATCCGTCTGTTTGCTTCTCAAACGTAAACCTAACAAAATTATCATTCGGTTGCCAAATGGACGACACAACCTTCAGATTTGGATGGCCTCCGTCGAAATGCCAGAATTGATTATTTGCTTTTGCGTAAATCATGAACGTTTTTCCTTCAAGATTTACTGAAAGTAAGGATATGGATAAAAATAATAGAATAACATCAATATAATTTCAGCACTTGTAAAAACGAATTAACTACCGCGATAACATGCATTTATACCTACTTTTCAACCATCATTTTTTTCACCTCATTTTCCAAAAGTTTCTTTCCAACAACGTGTTGTTATTCTGTTATAATAATGATATAATTGATAAGGCAATAACTATACTGAAAACTTTTACTTAATGATATGGATGCTAATGAAAACGATATCGACAATTAAGTTGCTGATGATATTGACAACAAAAACAATCATAACGATATTGACGATTAATACGTTGCTGACGATATTGACAATGAAAAAAATGATAATCGGTATTGACGTTTATTACGTGGCCGCGTTGCTGATGATATTGACAATGAAAAACAACGATTACGATATTGACTATTAATAAATTGCTGATAATATTGACAATAAAAATCAATGATAAAGATATAGACGTGCTATATAAGGTGCTGATGATATTGACAATGAAAAACAATGATAACGATACTGACGTTTAATTAGTTGCTGATGATATTGACAATGAAAATCAATGATAAAAATATTGACTTTTGATACGTTGCTGATGATATTGTCAATGAAAAACAATGATAACGATATTGACGCTTAATACGTTGCTTATGATATTGACAATGAAAAACAATGACAACGATACTGACGTTTAATTAGTTGCTGATGATATTGACAAAGAAAAACAATGATAACGATATTGACGCTTCATTCGTTGCTGATGATATTGACAATGAAAAACAATGACAACGATATTGACGCTTAATACGTTGCTGATGATATTGACAACGAAAAACAATGATAACGATATTGACTATCAATCAGTTGCTGTTAATATTGACAACGAAACACAACGATAACGTTCAGTAAGTTGTTGATAATATTGACAATTAAAACATTGATTACGATATTGACGATTGATAAGTTGCTTATGACTTTGACATTAGGCTAAAAAGTAAAAAAGTTTCTGTGAGGTATAATTAACATTTTTTTAGAATTTATAATTTTGTGATAACACAAAATTGTTAAACATTATAAACAGTTACATATAGTTATTGATTCATTATAATTTGACTTTTAAACACGCTCTAGACACAATATTGAATATGAAAAATTACAAAGGGCAATAATTAGAACAAAAAAATACCAAGTACAATAACTCGGAAATAATACAAAATAAGAATATTGTGTTTTTCTTAATGGGATTCATAAATTTATTCATGGATAAATGGATGGACGGATGGCGCTGATAATCAATGTTTAACAATTACCAGCCGGCAGACATTCTAGTGTCTGATTGGACCAATAACCATTTTCCTGACAAGTTGAAGTTCTGGATTTGAGCGGGAAATCGTTACACTTGCGTACAATCTTTGCTCCAACATTTCTCTGTGTTCCCAGAACTTTACTATTCTCATCGGGCGTCTCTGGTTCATCACACTCTGAAGAAAAAAATATTGACAATAATTGTAACTAAAACAGAAATGCAATAGTCGTGTTAAATATGACAAATTTATATTGTTATTATTTGACGATGTACAATGTTCAAATCTTTATTCTGGACATATTTTAAATTAAACTATGTAACTATGTTACCATGCTGCAAGTAGTGTCCAGTTTTCATGGTAACAATATTCAGTTCCTTAGAAAACGACAAACAAACAAAAAAGGAAATGAAACGTGTTTCTGTAATCACTAAGATGGTCGTAGATCGTGGTCAGAGTACAAGCTTGTTTAGGTAAACTTGTAACAATAATTCGTGTTTACAATTGTTGTGTTACAGTAAAGCTTTCTGTGTGTACATGTACGAATCCGTTTATACTTTGGGTCGCTTTGTCCGGGTTCGAAACACGATTGGATAATTAATATCTGAATTAATTTGAGCTTACATTTACAACAAATATTATAATTTATATAATCTATACTTTTTAGATATTTTATTTATTGTATAATGTTTATTTCTGTTACAGCCACAACACTTATAAGTAGCTTTATGTAAGAGTAAATGTCAAAGATAACTAGTATTTGAGCCAGTTACTTGGGCGGAGAACACGTCCTTCGTGACGCCTTAAGGTTATTCATTATGTTTGAAATAATTTGTAGTTTATCTCTGATTCATGTGGAGAAGTTGGTAGTCATATGCGGAGTGTAGGTTATTCTTGTACAGAAATGAGAAAAACTGGCTTTGTTAACTTTTCCCCGCTATATTATAAGTAAAACACTTTTGAAAAGCAGTGTTAAACAGTCAATGTTAAGAAATATAAGCAGCTAAAACATAAAATACTTATTGCATTATTTTCATTACATCTACTTATTTACTTTATAGCATTGTATTATATGCTAAAAAGCGATATAAATATCATTCACCCGAGTCTGGAACCCACAACCCACTTGCACACAAGGTTCCGTTGACACCTTTATATATAATAGTTGGTAATCTACATCTACTAACGCAAGTTCTCCATTTATAAAGATATATAGTATAGCTTACATTTTTTTAACAATTAAATTGTTGGGGTTATTTTCCTCTCTCTTTGATTTGGAATCGCCCCATGAAACAGGTTTGTTTTATTTTCCAACTCATGACTTATTCATAACTTTCAGAGTTGTTGTTGATATTTAATATCAAGCTTGAGAAAAATTCACGGTATAAACTTCTGAATTATATCTCTCCACGGCACGATGGTTAATAAATAATAAGTTTAAATATTATGCGGGATTGTACAGCCCAACCAGCTTTTTCATGTATTCATTTCTAATAAGTATTATATTTTCTTTTAATCAACGCATACAATAACTAGTTTACAAATGATTTAAAAGTTTTCAATTTTATGCAGTCGCCTTACTAAAGCGTTTATATCTGTTTGCGTCTCGCTTTTATGCGATTTTAGCACGAAAGTCTTGTCGGCGTTTTAGACAAAAACTTGAAACTTGGTTGTCGCCCTTTACATTTTCCTTAAACAAACTTTGTATCTCTCATTCCAGTTTATCAATCTAGCCAGTCATTGAAAATGAAAATGAGAAAATGAAAATTTGTGAGGGTTTTTTTTTTTTTTGGGGGGGGGGGGGGGTTGTTGTTGTTCTTCTTCTTCTTCTTGCACGAATCTGACGGCGTCAAGTCACATTTCTGCTGTATACATGACTTGGCCGTCGTGCTTTCAGAGACAATCCTTTCTAGTTTCCTAGCGAACAGTATTTCATTTTCTTGTTCAATTGATACGAGGGCAACAACCTTTTCCTTCAAGATCTTCCACTTTTGATAGGTTCTGTCATCTGGCAAGTCAATATTAAAGTTCCAACATTCATCGTTACGCCTCTTTTTCTCTGTGCAAGTGTCATCTCCATAGCTGCCAAAGCCAGTAGTTTCGGTGGCATTCTGTACTATTACACCATCTTTCTCAACATCATGGATGATTGGTTAAGGCTCTAGTCTACACTAGCAAGTGTCGGTGGCCCGTCTTCACCTACTACAAAGGTGATGCCATCAAACATAAAACCTTGGTTGTCTGTAGGACTAGAGCATGTAGAGAGCACACTGTTAACTTCAAATACTACATCTTCGATGCCACTGGGCAACCTTTTAGGTGTTGATGTCATAGGATGTGTGTTATCAATGCACCAAGAAATAGATTCAGACTTAACGTCAGAATTGTCAAATTTAATGTTTGTTTGTTAAAAAGGCTATTATAATATAGACATCTAACAACAAAGAAATTTGACTATATAGTGCCTTTACATTTATATCATAGTTACTGTTTATAAGGTTACTGAGAAGAATAAATTAAGAAAAGTATAGAAATTATAGTAACAGTAACTCGTCAATATGGCCCCGGAGTCGTCAATGACTTTCTGTGTCAAAAGCTACGCATAAGAGCAGTTTTTAATCAAAGGGAGCTCAATGCTTAAAAATATAATATTCCAGAACATCAACACGTGTTTACTTTGATAATCAATCGTCTGCATGGTACAGAAAACCACTTTGCCACAGACCTCTGACAGAGTAGAAGATAAGCTTGTTTTTTAGGGGTGCATTTTTATGGTCATATGCAAGGACGATGTGTATTTAATGGATATAAAATACAAACCATAATATTAATTAACTGTTAACCTTTCAAAAATGCCCGCTCGAAAACTTTTGGCTCGCGATATTGAAAGGGAGAAAACAAAATAAAAACATGACGAGTTACGGACTCTGACAAGTTACGGTTCTTTTACGTTACACACTGTCATAAATTTCTTAAGATTTTAATGGGAAGGTAGCAAGACGAAGCTCGTTTAGGGCACATACATTCTTTTACTTTGAAGTGAAATTAGATTTGTGTTGTGTCTTGGTTCTATCTTTTTATTATCTCAATAATATACCAGCAAAGCGATAATGACTTTTATAAAAACAATATGTTAACCCGGTGCTGGGGGACGTGGACTGTAGCTTGTACTCACGAGTATCGCCCATGAACAGGCTTAATCAAACCAAGCTTGCAATATTTTAAATTTTGCTATTTTGGGAGTTCTGTTTTTTTTTGTTTTTATTATTATTATTATTATTATTATTATTATTATCTGACACATATTTTTTAGTTCCACCTGAAGTCAATTTAATTAGGAATATGTGCGGGTTAGGCTTTAGCACACTTATTTGTTTTTTCTCGAGTTCATTTTATCTTCAATTTTACTTGTATTAAAATTTGATGTCGCTTGAGATCCTTAATTTTGTTGGCAAGTTATAACAACGGAGGAACGTTTCTGTCATTTGCAAGTGCGTTATTTCACAAGTGCATTTTAGCAAAAAAGAATGTCGAGTAGCCAGGCGGCCAAATTATATAATGGCCTGGAATTGCAAGACCCTCAATTTTGTAACTACATGTATATTCATTTAGCCTAGAATTGGACCCTATTGCTGTTGAATTCGTTGCCCGGGAAAAAACTGGTCCGGTAAATACCGGAATTTGATATAAGAAAAAAATGAAAATTTCTTCAAAAAAAGATAACTTTTATATTTTTTTCTTTTAAAATATTGTACATCATTTTATTCCTCAACAAACAACAAAATGCTTACTTATCATTTATTTCTAATATAATTAAGCTGATAACCGTTAGGACGACGCCGACGTCATTACTAATTTAATAAACATCACTGTGTATGCTACGGAACATTCAATAGATTGATTGATAAAATGAAAATAATTGCTCATTTTTATCAGTCTAAACAATCTTACCAAGTACATGACATGTTACGATGTCGTTATTGACAATGCATGTTTCCACTTCAGAACACTGACTGCATCTGTCATCAAGCGTTTTCTGAAATGGAATAATAATTTAAAGCGTTTACTGTGTTTGAAGATTTAAAACAATGGCATTCTGAAATAATCAATTTATTTCATTTACAGTACACCAATCTAACGCTTCAACATAAATACCGTAATACGATTCATCTCAGATTTAAATAGTCATACATCACGTTCGTCCATTTATTATTTATTGCATAGCCTGATTAATTATAATTACATTCTTCCATCGGAACATTAAGTTAAACGATAAGCTAATATCTTATTCATTACTTGGTCATGCACAAGTGTAGCGTTACTAAAAGAAATTGTATAGATCGTTTTGTTTGAAAATGATGCCCACTGTCATGGTAAAGTTTCCGAGGGCAGACTGATTAAAGTGATATCATGCCCATATATGTACATGTATAAAGTGAGTGTGTAGCTGAAAGTCAAAATAAGCTTACATTGGCCATAATCCCTTTCAATTTTACAATTTACGGAGCATGAACGATAAATAACTAACGTGTCCCAAGGAAAGGTACATTAAAAATAAATTGCAATTTACCCATAAACAGAGTGGGCAGTCTTTTTATATCTTAAGCAGATATATATTTAGGCAATCCTGATGTCTTCATATTAGCAATTAAAAGTAAAATAACCGACGTATGAACACATCTGTGGATGTTTCTAAATTCAAATTTCACCATTACCATGACTAAATGTTGAATTCCACTTAAATCGGTGCTAGAAGGTTTGGAAGATAAATTGCACTTTCCATACCGTCCATAAACAGGCTCAATCAAACCTAGCCTGCAACATTTTCAATTTTGTCGTTTTGTGCGTTCTCTAATGATTCTCTACTATATCTTTGTATTATATAAATCACCCGCTTATGTTTAAAATAACCGTAGTCTATCACATAAAATCTTCGTTGATAAATCGACATACACCTTCTCAATATCATATGTGCATGATCCAAATAAAACATGAGCACTGAACATAAATTATAAAAAAAAACGTTTGCATTTATTCATTAAGCTTATTGATATAGCGCTCTTAAATTCCATGGCATTGAAAAGCTGAAGGGGACAAAAGAAACGAAAATAAAACGGATATATAGCTTGATTTTGACGCATTTGCAAATCCGTTCAATACAACAAAGCTTTAAATTAATAGACTTTTAAAAGCTTTGCTTATTTTATAATTTGTCAAGTTGTTCACTTGCACTTTCAAAATACATATGTCAATTGAAGAATTGAATGAACTGCGTATTTTGGAATATTAATTTACAAAATCAATATACGTCTATAACAGGGATTTTTAATGCCATGCGACGGATTTTCTTGTAACTACAAAGCTATTTTTAGAATCACTCTCGGATAAATGTATATATGTAATAACACACTTAGCTATTAACTTAAAGTGTAGATTTTAAACCGTTACAAGCTCAGATTATTTATCTTTTAAATTAAATGTGGTAGCATTGTGATGTGTGTGTGTGTGTGGGGGGGGGGGGGGATACGGAGCCCCTTAGGTGACATTTTCGACGCTTTTCCCGGCAATTAATTCGTTTTTACGAAATATTAATTCGTAATTACGAAATATTAATTCGTAATTACGAAATATTAATTCGTTTTTAAGAAATAACAATTCGTTTTTTACGAAATAATAATTCGTTGGTTGTAACGAAAAATCAATTCATAATTACGAAATATATATTCGTTAATTAATAATATTTCGTAATTACGAATTAATATTTGTAATTACGAATTAATATTTCGTAAAAACGAATTAATATTTCGTAATAACGAATAAATATTTCGTAACTACGAATTATTATTTCGAATTTACGAATTATTATTTCGTAAAAACGAATAAAGTTTCGGGGGAAAAAAGTGTAAAAAATGTCACCGTAGGGGGGACGCCCTCCGTACCACATTTTTGTCAGTTCTGGGCAGTTAGTCCGCTTTACCGGCTTCCCTGGATAACTAACCAGTAATTTCTTATATAACCGCGAAAAAATGACCTACTAATTTCACGAACGGCGAAAAATGGCCATTAGCCTGAATGTCCAATATCATTTGTCATATAGAAATTTAGCCTGATGAATTAATCTGTTTTCATGAATCTGTTGGTTTCTTATTTGATCAACATCAATTGGACATTTAAAGAAATTGAAATTATTTCCAGAGCAAAATCAAAGGAAGCGGGATTGATCGACTGTTTAAATTCCATGAACATAATTATAACAAAATCGAGCTAAGTTGTAAGGTCATTGAAAAAGCTGTCAATTTAACAGAAAACACGCTCTTAAAATTAATACAAAAATAAAATGCTAAGAAAGAAAAGGACATAGATTTTTAAACCAAAGAAAAATATTTGACTCTTATACCTTACTCCAATTTGCCTTTTCGCTGTATACAGTCCTCGCCTTGGATACCACCTGGACACCGTCTGTCGAACTATCCGATGAGCAGAGATGACACAAGCCGAAAAGTCTGTCGATTTTGATAGCAACACAGCGTTCTCTTGCTTGACACAGCTCTTGACATTGTCTTAATGACACAGAATGAAACGAATTTATTATCACTACTCCATGTAAGGTATGAGCTAGCCGAAAGGGAAGCTGTTCTGGTTCTGCCCTCGTGTACTTGAAAAGTCCTGATATCAGAATATAAACTAACCACGATACAGCCATATTGATAGTCCTAAGCAAAATGCGGTTTTCTCTCAACGAATTTGTAAAAAAGTAAATAATTACAAATCCAAAATCACCAATGGCACTAAATGAATTGCTAGTTTTGAATAAACCATTAGCTAACTGTATGCATCTTGATTCAATCGTTGTGCACTATAAGCCATACAATCTGATAACAAACATTAATTCATCATGCAATCAGAATGCAATCGTAAGTGTACACATTATTATTAATATCTTTATACTAAGACTATGTGTCCAATATGTTAGATCTGCATGCACTCGTTGAAAATCCGTCATCTTTATCTAAAAGAAGGAAAACTTCCCTCTCATAAAATTTGTCAGTTTGAAAATCTGTACAAAGGTGACGTTATAATTGTAGAATATATAGATATTGGAAGAGCTTCTGGTAAGTTCCGTTACAGTCTTAAATCAACAATGCCACTAGCACCAATTAAACGAATGATCTAACATATAATATTAATGTCTTTTTTTATTTTCAAACCAATTTGCTTATCGATTGGCTGAAAAATAAAGATCAACCATTTATTTGATCAATCACCTTGGTTAAATTGGTAAATCGCATTATGACTTAGATTCGAGATTTTAGGAAAGAGAAATGTTAACTCGTATTAGAAATGTTTAAGCCTATGCTTTATAGTGCTTATTATATTTTAAAGGAAGAACTAAACCTGTTTATTACTTATAGAATTTAAACCCCTTACGTTGTTTTAGTGAAATACCAGCGTGCACAATACTGGGTACCAACTTAATTACGTGACGTCGTTAATGACGTCACGTTGTATTATTAGTTGGCGCGCTTTTCATTCACTATTAGGTTTAATGTCTTTTTAAAACGTTTCTTTGCATGTAATAAAAAGAAAATTTGTTTAGTTTTTTGTAAGATTGAAATATATTTCACCTTGTGAACACCAAAAGTTCATATTTCACTCGTGGCTGCGCCACTCGTGAAATATACCTTTTGGTGCTCACTCGGTGAAATATATTCCGATCTTACACGGCTAAACAAATATCCTCTATATATTCTTCTTGATACTCTTGAGTTGGAACACATTTATGTTTGATTCATACGTTTTTTCGAGATAAAACCTGCTTTAAAATGTTAATCTGCAGACTTTTCATGCCTAGCTTGAACACAGAACTGGTTGTCCATAACCTGATGGCTTTACAGAATGCTTTCAAATCATTTGCTTTTTAAAGCGTGTAATGCTTTATTTTAACCTGTAAATGTTTAAATTGTTTCCGTTTTGTATTTATTTTTAATTGTCTTTTTTGTCTATTATATAGCATTAATTTTCCAATAATTATTCAAATGTACAGTCTATTAACAGGTATTTGTAAACTAATGTAAGTTTTATTGACATGCTTGAATTTAGTAAGTCCGATGTAGGTTTTTATATAATACTTTATCGTTCAGTTTCCTATCAAAGCAAACATATATTAACACTTTACATGTAAACTGAGTAAAGACGACCTTTCTAGGTAAATATAAGCTATTGACATATCAAAATGTCTTAAATGACCATTGTTTCAGAATAAATACGTACATAAGTAACACCAATTGCTTTGAATCCTATATTATTGATCATAATTATGATATAATGGTATATGCCAGTGTACATAAAATAAATAAAATAAATCGTACAGGGACTTATACATGTATAATAATTTAGGGGAAAGAAACGAGACAAAATACAAAATAGTACTCATAAACAAAAGTGTCACACATATAACCAAGTGACAAGACATACTTTAAAAGTTCATAGAGGATTTGATTGAGCCTGCTCATAGACGGTTGTGGATTATACTACCGTCTAAGCCACAAGGCTCCGGCTATAACCCTGCTGTGGAAGTTTGTCACACCTAAAGACTCAATAAAACCGAGTCTGCAATTTTCATGTAACTTTGTAATGATTAATACTTCCGAGGGATCATCCTACCTCAAGATTTTAGTAATGAAACCAAGTCTTTGTGATTAATGCTTCCGGGGGATCACTTTGTTTCCAGAATTTTTTCACATGACTACACGCTCTTGCAAACCTAAAGTATAAGTTGTTATGTTAACAGTTCGTACTTTTTGAATAATATTCAAATTCAAACTATTCAAAACTTGACAATAATATATTTCTATACCAAAATCATTGAAGTAACGAGAGGAAGGAAAAAACCTTTTTCTAAGACCAAACTACATTCATACATCGAAAAATCCTAAAATGATTCTGAGACAACAGACATTTTATGCTCGAGAGATTTATACTTCAAACACGAATGATTGTTTTTCTTTTATTTAGAAAATGGAAACATAAGTTTAGTAACATTTATATAATGTTTTTAGCGTATGTTAGATCCTAATATTTTTTAACCTGAAAAAGTAAGGCGTAATGTGAAATTATTTCTAAAAAAAGTAGCAAAACTTTAAAGAAGTATTTTGACTTCATTAAAAAATACTTATTCACTATAACTGTACTAATTGCTAAAAATCAACAAAAGCAAAATATGGTTCAGGTAATTGGCAATGAGTAACATTTTGGAAACTATCATATGACACAAAAATAAAAAAAATCATATATTCAGACTTTAACAAAATGTAAGGCAAAAGCTAGGAGACATATAATAGAGAACAAAGAAATAAGTAGTCAGTAGAAATACAAACGTGCCAGCTGGGACATTTTAATATGATAAACAAGATCAACAAGGAAAGGCGGCGTTCAATGAAGCCTATAGTCTGTCCCATCAAATTTGAACATTCCATTTTTTATTTAATATAATAGTAAAATCATTTAAATTAATGTCATCTTAACCAAGACGTCAATATCTCTAGGCATGTTTTTCATTTTTTTCATAAAGTCAGTAATATAGTCAAAATGTTAAAATTATATTTTTCCCCGTTGACTTACGTTGTAACCTGACGTGGCGTCCTTTTCAAAATGGCGGCGCCCATATAGACGTCATTTAGGGTTCGTCTCACAATTACGGTGAAATGTACTCGGTAATTATAAAAATTTGATTATTCTTATTTACTTAATGATCAATAGCTAAATGTTATCATTAAAATGAAAAATGAGAACAACGTTGGTGTCAAAAGGGCAATTTTACTAGCAAACTATTATTTAAAATAATCAAAATCATTTAAAGCTAAAATATCGGTAACCGCTTTATAAATTCTAACTCACAAACATTAAATTAATTACCATGATACACTGTCGTATTTTTTTAAGATAAAATGAACAATGAATTGATTTGATTAGATAGCTTTCCAATAAAGTGCGTATCTTACCGCAACATGTCGTAGGGGAGCGGAAACACAAGTAGAATATGATAAACAAGATCAACAAGGAAAGGCGGCGTTCAATGAACGCGACCCCCACATGACCCAGCTAGAAGACTATAAAAAATGGTTCTTCGCTTATTAATGTTTAATTTACACAATTCTGTAGTTATCTGAATTCTGTCCATTAGTATGTATCACTTCTATTCAAAAATAATTAAATTGACCCGGTTCGATGGGATATAAGAATATGTTACCCTTCTTATTTCGGGTGCGATGTCCGTGCGCTAAAACTTTCCGTATGTTTCAACTTTCACAAGAAATCGCCAACAGATACTACTTTATCATGCAAATCTGACAAGAAATATATAAAAAGGAAAACTTATTCACTATACGTTCAGAATTGGTTTGCTTGTTACCACAGTGTCTACTTTAACTAACTCCCTCGCTAACGAGAGAACACAGACCCGCGTTCGAGGAAAATGTAAATTTTAAGAATATATAATATCATGCTTTCTAGTTTGAGCAATCAAACGTAGGCCTATACACTTTAAGTTCGTAAATACAAATTTAACTTCCCGTCTCACAATTCAACAAATGTCAGTGATTTGATATTATTAAGAATAAGTTTGAATTGGAGTGTTCAATAAGCGACAATAATCGTTTTTTAGACTCAAAGTGTAACATATAATTATTATGTTAAAATGAAGGGGAGATCTAGTCAAAGGGAAACACCGAGTGACTTTCTCAATAATTTTTTAGCCTTCCTAAAATTTAAAAATATTCTGTGAAAATACAATAGATTTAGCATATTTTTCGCGGGAGAAAAATACGGCGTATTGTATATTTTGTAGTTAAAAGAGCAAGATTTACAGAAGTCATGAAAAACGATATAATATGTAGGGAAATTATTTCTGAGAATTATGTAAAATGGTTTTAAAACATAAAATCAAAACGAATGTTATATGTAATTAATGGAAGAAGTATTGTACTGTTGACATAGATTCATGTCATTAAGTGTGTTTAACATTATTTAAATGTTATCAAAAGCTTTATTATTAATATATGAATTGAAGGTGTATTTTTTACAGTTAAGTTGCAAAATCTGGGTATACAAAAATTATTTTAAATGCCAACAAGACAAATTCATCTCAACGCTTAAAATTATCTGTTTGAGGTTACATTATGCCTAACCGCTCTCTGTCTATGCCGCAACTGGAATCGCGAGACAATTTTGTTACGTCATATATTTCGTATATTGTTGTTGACGTAATAAAGATTGTTTTCGTCAGGAATCCATTTTCAAGAGTTATAAGCATTGTGATGTTGACAACTAAAATTGATGGGCCGTTCTTGAATTATGGATTTGGAACATGCTGAATTATGATGTGTTTCATTTACATATTTCATTTGCTAACCCAGATAACTCCACAAATTGAACAATGTTTTAATAATGAGACGGTTTAACAGTTTAAAAAATCTGGATCATCATAAGTGTAGGAGTCATGTCATTTAGGAGTTTCAAAGTAGAAAAAATCGGATAGACGGAACTGTATAGAAACTGGCAATGAAGGAATCTTCAGAAGTGACGTTTATAAAGATCTATTCCGAAATTCATAGGAATTATATTCAGCTTAAGGTAAGACCTGGGTAATGGGCAATAACAATGAACCTAAAATTGCACATTATATTATTGTTTTGTATCATTATGTACATCAAAATATAAAATATTAAAAGAATTTACCGTGTTGTTTTATAGCTACAAGTGTTTTTGTAAATACCCCGTTTCAATAATTTAGCGGCAAAATTGCCATTGTCATATTTTGCTAAATATTTGTTTTTTTTCCTAAAAAAAGAACAAAACAATATGTTTCAGCATGTTTTCTATTCATCTGTATATGTACTGTACCCAAAAACAACAATTCATGAATAATAAAAAGGTTTAAGAAAATATTACCAAAAATGTGAAACAGATTTGGTTCAAAAAGTCGCATTTCAGAATTTTGTTATTTTCCCCTTATTTTTTCAAAGTTCAAAATTTTTACATGAAAGTGCCTGTAACTATGCAAATTTGGCACCAAAATTTTTCTGAATGTGTGAGCAATAACATATGTTAAAATAAGAAACTTTTACCGT